ACAACATTAACATTTAAAGTGTGCACTTCAACTGTTACTATTAAATTTACAGCATTTATAGCCATCTCTATGATTTTTAGAACATCTTCCTCATCCTCTTACCTCATAAAAGTAATCTTATGCCAAGTGCCAGTGGCTCATAACTGTAATCCTAGCTACTCAGGAGGCTGAGATCTGAGGATTGTGGTTCAAAGCCAGCCCAGGCAAGAAATTCTGTTAGACTCTTATCTCCAATTAACCATCAGAAAACTGGAAGTAGTGCTGTTGGTCAAAGTGGTAGAGCACTAGCCGAAGCAATAAAGGTCAGAGACAGCTCCCAGGCCCTGAGTTCAAGACCCTTGGCTGACAAAGAGAGAGAGAGAAAGAAAGAAAGAAAGAAAGAAAGGAAGAAGGGAGGGAGAGGAAGGAAGGAGGGAGAGGAAGGAAGGAAGCAAGCAAGGAAGCAAGGAAGGAATTTTGTATTTACTAATAGGCATCCCTCCATCCCCCCCCCCATCCCCACACAACCATTAATCTTTCTGTCTCTGTGGGTTTGCCTATTCTGGATCTGCCATACACGTGTGGAACCACACCATATGTGACCCTTTATGATGACTACCTTGCATATTGCATGTTTTCAAAGTACTGGGTAATCATTCCTTTCCATGACGGAATACTTTGTATCAAAGTCTTAAAATATTTTCATTCACCAAGTCATTTGTTGAACATTTGTTTATTGTAAACAATAATGCTATGACTATCCACATACATGCATAGCTTTTCATGTATTTTAATTCAATTACATTAATATCTAGGAATACATTTTCTGGGCCATATGATAATTTTATCCTTAATATTTGAAGGAAATGCCATACTTCTTTTTCCCCTCAAAGACTACTTGGTGTTGTATCCCTACCGTAAGTATGGTGTTGCAGTGTCTCCTTAACCTGCCAACTGATACTCATAGAGGATAATTGGCTTAATGAACTGTTGGTTGATCCAAAAGAGATCTGGCTAATTACTGCACTCTTACTGGTAGCATTACAGGCTACTGGTCATAATGTAATGAGTTGTTGTGCAGTAACATTCTACCAGCAAAGCAATTTACTGGTAGGAAACTAGAATCTTTGTGTTGGCTGCTTGAATAGCTGAATAGCATCTTGACAGAGGACTTGCTAGCAAGTGACTGGACTGGAAAATGTACATTGGAAAGATTTTCCAGTCTGCAAAACAGGCCAAAACTCATATGCCTTTGTCCATTGGTAGAAATGGTACTTCCCTTGTATGTCTGTTTTGATATGTTAAATGGGTTCTAACCATTGAAAATGCTGATTACTGATTAATTGTTCAAAGCTGTTAATGGTTAAATGAGCAGCCAGAGTGGTAACTGCATTTGCAGTCAAAGTAAATCTAAGTGGAGGCAATCAGAGTAAATCTAAGTAGTATCAACAGTAATGGTAACATTACTGAATGCACATTCAGTGTCCAGGCATCCTACTAAGGCCCTCTGTGTGCTAACTTACCCTCCCTTTATCATATATTATTATTATCCTGATTTCCTCATGAGGAAATGGATACTTAAGTATCCTCTCTAAGACCATCAAACTAATAAGTGGTAGACTCAGAATTGAAACCCAGATGTATCTAATTCCAAAGACTGGGTTCCCTAGTAATTAGATTTTAATCCGTTAAAGACTTTTTCTCTATGGATCTTAGAGATTTGTAGCTCTAGAACAAGGGGATTCAGATTGCCTTTCTGATTAAACCAAAATAGGAATTGAAAGACTAACAGGACTTGGGGAGTTCTGTGCTGCTTTTAATATAAGCAAGATAAAATTAGAATAATGACAGACTTTCCAGAAAATCATGGGCATAAATATACTAAAGCAGTAGTAAGGAAATTTCAAATATTCTTCATCTCTTGAATTATATGTGTGCTTACCTCTTGTAGAAAATTCAAATGACTAGTCTTTTAATTAAAGTAGTTTAGGGGCTGGGAATGTGGCTTAGTGATAAAGTGCTTGCCTAGCAAGCATGAAGCCCTGGATTTGATTCCCTAGTACCACATAAACAGAAAAAGCCATAAGTGGTGCTGTGGCTCAAATGATAGAGTACTAGCCTTGAGCAAAAGAAGCTAAGGTACAGTGCCCAGGACCTGAGTTCAAGCCCCAGGACTGGCAAAAAAAGAAAAAAAAGTTAAAGTAGTTTTACTGAATGGAGGGAACTGATAAAAGAGTATGTTCAGAAATTTCCAGCCTTATTAAGTTATAGCTGTCAGTAAATATATAAATTGCCAGGCCTGGTGATACACAGGTTAAATGAGCAGCCAGAGTGGTGACGAAGGCATTTCATAGTGTTTGCAGTCAAGGTAACTCCAGGAGGCTAAAGCAGAAGATTGCTGGAGTGAGGCCAGCCTGATACATATAACAAGAGCCTTCTCATAAAACAAAAGCACCCAACAACAAAAACTTGAATATAGGTGGGCACTGGTGGCCCATGCCTGTAATCCTAGCTACTCAGGAGGCTGAGATCTGAGGATCGCAGGCAGGAAAGTCTGTAAGACTCTTTTCTCCAATTAACTACCAGAAAACCAGAAGTGGCACTATAGCGCAAGTGATAGAATGCTCGCCTTGGGCTGAAGAGCTCAGTGTCAGCGCCCAGGCGCAGAGTTCAAACCCCACGACCAGGAAAAACAAAAAAAAAAAAAAATAGCTTGAATATATTTGTGGTATAGAGTGTGATGCTTTCATGCCTGTATATACTGTGTACTGATTGCTCAGGTAATTTGCCTGTCACATACTTATTTTGTGTGGGAGTAGTGAGAACACTTAAGATCTACTCTTTTAGCAGTTTCCAAGCACATATTATTAGCCGTAGCCACCATGCAGTACAATAGACCTCTGGTACTTTTTCAATACAGTGAACTGAAACTTGTGTCCTCTGACTCCCCCCGCCCCCACCTAATTACCCCACCATTCCCAGTCCCCAGTGTCTGTCACCGACTGTTCTACTCCTTGCTTCTACAGGTTTGCCTTTTTTTAATTCCACATATACAAAGGCCCAGGTAGTGTTTGTCTTATTTGTGCCTGGCTTATTTAACTTAGTCGTATGTCTTCCAAGTTCAACTACGTATGGCAAGTGTTAGAATAACCTTCTTCTGTAAGCTGAATAGCTTGCACTGTGTGTTTATATTTACCACATTTTCTTTATCCACCCATCAGCTGATGGTCACTGAAGGATAAAGTTTAACATGGGGATTGGCAAAGATTTTGTTTTGGCTATGACCTCCCAAAGCATAGGTAACAATAGCAAAAATTATTAAGTGGTTTTATATCAAACTTTAAAGCTTCTTTCTGCTTGGCAAAGGAACAATCAATATAATTCAGAATCTAGGAGTTGGGAGAAAATGTTTTCAAATTATATCAAGTAAGAAACTAATATCCAAAAAGTGTGGAACTCAATAACAACAAAACAACCTGATTTAAAAATGGGCATAATACCCAAATTGACAATTGTCAAAAAAAAGACATGTAAAAAGCCAATAGGCAGCTGGGCACAGGTGGCTCACGCCTGTAATCCTAGCTACTTAGGAGGCTGAGATCTGAGGATCACAGTTCAAAGCCAGCCCAGGCAGGAAAGTCCGTGAAACTCTTATCTCCAATAAAACCACCAGAAAACTGGAAGTGGTTCTGTGGCTCAAGTGGTAGAGCACTAGCCTTGAGCTAAAGAACTGAGGGACAGCGCCCAGGCCCAGAGTTCAAGCCCCACAACCAACAGCAAAAAAAAAAAAAAGCCAATAGGCATACATATTTTTAAAACTTCATCTTCACTAATGATTAGAGAAATGCAAAGGAAAACCACAATGAGTTATCACTTCAATGAACTATTCACTCCACTGAAAATGGTTATTCTCAAAACAAATTTGTTGGTGAACATATGGAGAAAAGGACACTTTTGTACACCATTTGTGGAAATGCACATTAGCATTATGGAAAATAGTATGGAGATTCTTCGAAAAATTTAAAATTTACCAAATAATCCAGCAATTCCACTTCTTGGTATATATCTCAGAAATTTAAATTAATATTTTGAAGAGATAGCTGTACTTATGCCTATTTGTGCCACTTTCCAGGATAGTCAACTTAAGTATACATCAGTGAACAGATAAAGACAATGAGGTATCATACAATGGTACATAGTGTAATAGTATGATCTACTGTTTATAATATGCAATGAGGAAGTGGCACTGTGGCTCAAGCGGTAGAGCATTAGCCTTGAGCTGAAGAGCACAGGGACAGCACCAAGCCCAGAGTTTAAGCTCCACGACCGACAAAAACAAAACAAAACAAATATGCAATGAAATATTACAGCCTTAAAAGGATGTGTTGACTAGTAACTGGAGAAGGATCATCAGGTAGTACAAGGCAAGTGATGAAGAAGGCTAGATTGCTAAATTTTCTTTGTTTATGCCATCAGACAGACAGATAGACACACACAGAGAAATATGCCCTAAATAAGTAAATAAAGTTTTGTCCATGGTTCAGTTGCTTTTCGTGGATATGAAAAGTTAGAAGATTGTTTATGCTTCTCTGCTTTTGTTCCACAATTTCTTTAGTATTTTTGGTATAAAAGTTGTTAAATTCTGCGGGGCACCGGTGGTTCACACCTATAATCCTAGCTACTCAGGAGGCTGAGATATGAGGATCATGGTTCAAAGCCAGCCCAGGCAAGAAAGTCTGTGAGACTCCTATCTCCAATAAACCACTAGAAAACCAGAAGTGGTGCTGTGGCTCAAGCAGTAGAGCGCTCACCTTGAGCTGAAGAGCTGAGGGACAGTGCCTAAGCCCAGAGTTCAAGCCCCACGACCAACCAAAAAAAAAAAAGTTGTTAAATTCTATTAACATTACTAACTAGCCATAAATATGAAAGTAATTTGTGGTAGGGAAGCTAGCTCCAAAAACATATATATGTGAATAAACACATTCTGACATTATACGTTTCTTTTATAATGTTTGCTTTAGTATCTATTGTCTGGAGAAAAGCTAAAATACCAGCAGCAAGATGAAGTACAACAACTTCGTCAGAATTTGCACCGGCTTCAAATTCTTTGCAGCTCAGCTGAAAAAGAGCTTCGGTATGAGCGAGGAAAGAACTCAGACTTAAAGCAACATAATAGCTTACTGCAGGAAGAAAACATTAAGGTAACTCAAGTGGGAACATCCTTTGTCCAAAGATCTCATCCAGCCCTGGGAATATGTGTATTACAATTCCTTCACATTGGCCAGCCACTGGTGACTCACACCTGTAATCCTAGCTACTTAGGAGGCTGAGATCTGAGGATCATGGGTCAAAGCCAACCTGGGTAGGAAAGTCTGTGAGACTCCATCTCCAATTAACTATCAAAATACTGGACTAGAGACATAGCTCAAGTGGTAGAGCACTAGCCCTGAGTGCGCGCGCGCGCGCGCACACACACACACACACACACACACACAAATTCCTCAATAGTATATATAATTCATCATGGGATTCAAGAATGAGTGGAAAAATTCCTCCTTTAACTTTTTCTGGATAAATAGGGACAAAACTCAGTCATTTCTCTTCTGCTTGAGCGTACATGATATTAGTAAACAGGAAAAAGTTTAAAGTGATGCCATCTATTTAAATCATTATCTTAATTTTTATCACTTACTAAATTTCAGTGACCTAGGCTAAAACCCTGTCCTGCCCTTGTTGTATATCACTAGATTTATCTATCCTTAACAAATCGGTTCAATCAGTGTCACTATCAGTACGAAGGTTCACTTCATGAGGACAAAGTTGGTTTTCCTAACATAAGCAACATGTTAAAAGGAAATCCCAGGCTGGGAATGTGGCTTAGTGGTAGAGTGCTTGCCTAGCATGCATGAAGTCCTGAGTTCCATTCCTCAGTACCACATAAACTGAAAAAGCCAGAAGTGGCACTGTGGCTCAAATGGTAGAGTGCTAGCCTTGAGCAAAAGAAGCTCAGGGATAGTGCCAGGCCCTGAGTTCAAGCCCCAGGACAGGCAAAAAAAAAAAAAAAACAAAGGAAATCCCTCAAACATGTTTGTTTTACAAATAATCTAGGTAGAGCTTCCATATACAAATTTTCTGAGCCATAAGGCTCAGAATGAGCCATTGCATCAATAGACCTTCCTTTAATTATGGTTCAACTCTCTATATTAGAGACTTAGTTTCTAGAAGTCCCTAAAGGTTCTGGAATTCAACATTTTACAAATAATAACTGAGTAGAAGTTTCCAGGTTATATAACCACTTACCTAGGAAAGGTTTCAACCAGATTCCCCACTTAGTCGAAAAGGGGTAAATGCACCCAGGGGGAGAACTGCCATTTTGAGCCTCTTTGCTCCTGTTTCTAGGGTTGCTCCTCTTTCCCTTTTCTTCTTTTTCTTTTTTTTTTAATGGCCATGGGCTTTGAACTCAGGGCCTGGGCACTGTCTCTGAGCTCTTTTGTTCGAGGCTAGTGCTTTACTACTTTGGGCCACAGCACCACTTCGTTTTCTGGTGGTTAATTGGAAATAAGAGTCTTGCTGGCTTTGAACTTGGATCCTCAGATCTCAGCCCCCTGAGTAGCTAAGATTACAGGCCTGAGCCACTGGCCTGGCAAGACTTGAAGTTCTTATGGCCTCTCCAGTCATTACTCAAATCTGCTTTTATAGTATAAAAGCCATCTGGAAAACATGTAGATAGCCAGGCTCCAGTGGCTCATGCCTATAATCTGAGCTACAGTTCAAAGCCAGCCGGGGCAGGAAAGACCATGAGACTTTTATCTCAAATAAACCACTAGAAAACCGGAAGTGCCACTGTGGCTCAAGTGGTAGAGCACTAGCCTTGAACTGAAGAGCACAAGGACAGCACCCAAGCCCAGAGTTCAAGCCCCATGATGGACAAAAAAGAAAAAAAGAAAAAAATTCATGTCTAAAGTATATACTACCTGGCACTTTATGAGAGAAGTTTACCTTCACAAATCTATTGAGGGAAATGGTTCTTATTTGAAAAATGACATAAAAACAGAAGAGGAGATGTGGCTTAAGTGGTAGAGTACTGATCTTGAGTAGAAAAAGCCAAGCAAGAGCAAGGCCCTAAGTTCAAACCCCACTACCAGCAAAAAGAACATGAAGGAGGGAGGAAAGAGGAAGAGGGGAAGAGAAAGAGAGGGAAAGGTGGAAGGGAAGGGAAAAGGGAAGGGAAAGGAAGGGAAGAGAAGAGAGGAGAAAGAGAGAAGGAAAGAAGGAGGGAAGGAGGGAAGGAGAGACTGAGCACTGGTGACTCAGGCCTTTAATCCTAGCTAACTCAGGAGGTAAAGATCTGAGGATTGTGTTTTGAAGCCACTCTGGGCAGGAAAATATGAGACTTTTATTTCCAATTAATTATCAAAAAGCCATAAGTGGAGCTGTGACTCAATTGGTAGAGCGTAGCCTAGAGCAAGAAAAGCTCAGAGACAGTGCCTAACCCATGTGTTCAAGCCCTAGAGCAGGCAGAGAGAGACAGAGACAGAGATAGAGAGAAAGGTCTTTGGTCATAATCTGTAGGGAAGTATAAAGGAAAACAACAAATGCTTATTTATCTCGATCTAAAAGGAAGGCCTTCTTAAAAATTCTGGTATTTCATTATCATCTGAATAAACTTCTTCCCTACCCTCTCCAGTCATGAGTTTTATGGGACCTTTTTTTGGAGGGGACAGAAGTTTATTTGTTTGGTTGATGGGGATCAAACCCAGCCCTCATTTATGCTAGGCACATATACCATCTCTGATTTATATTCCCAGCTTCTTCTTCACAAGTTTTAAAATATTGATCATATTCCCTAAACCTTTGTAGTTATGTAGCTTTAAATTTTTAAATATGTTCTTCAGATGACAGCCTTTTACCTTTTCCTTCAAAGATATTTCTTAGATCATCTTAACTCTGAACATATTCAAGTAATACTTTATCAGAACTACTCAGATCAGTATTCAGTTTGCAGGCAAGCCAGACATAAAGTTAATGAGACCCCATCTCAACCAACAAGCTGGTCATGGTATTTTACCCAGCCATGCAAGAAGCATAGGTTGCAGGATCGCAGACTGAGACTACCATTGGGGAGGGGGGAGCAAGACTCTAAAAATAACTAAAGCTAAAAATGGCTGGGGGTATGGCTCATGTAGTAGAGCACCTGCTTAGCAAGCATAAGATTCAGAGTTGAAGTCCCAGTACTGAAAAATAAAACTTACACAGACCATGATGCCTTACATGTGATTGATACACTATTAACCTTTGTTGACTCAATGAACAGTCTTTCCGGGTTCAAATCTTTCTGATGGTGGCTGACATGTCAGCAGTATCATCTACAATAGTTATCTTTCATTGACTCCATCTTTTATAAACCTCCCTTTACCCTTGAAGAGCCATCTTGTTATAAATGAGGGAATGATTCAAGGTTGTAAACCTAATAAATAGAGTCCGAATTTAAGCCCAAACAACTAATATGGAATTTCATACTCAGAAAAAGCATCAAGTCAGGCACCAGTGACTCATGCCTGTAATCCTAGCTATTCAGGAGGCTGAGATCGCGGTTCAAAGCCAGCCCTGGCAGGAAAGTTTATGCGACTCTTATCTCCAATTACCACCAGAAAACTGGAAGTGACACTGCAGCTCAAGTAGTAGAGTGCTAGCCTTGAGCTGAAGAGCTGAGGGACAGTGCTCAGGCCCAGAGTTCAAGCCCCACAACCAACAAAAAAGAAGAAGGAGGGTGGGGAATGAGGAGCAGGAGAAGAAAAGAGGAAGAGGAGGAGGACCACCAAATGTAGACCTAGAGTTGTAACTTTAACTCCGCATACACTCACCACCCAGGGCTGCCAGCCTATACATTTTCCCATCTCATACCACTGCTTTGCCACCTCGGCATCAATCATTAAACTCCTCTGCTTTACTTCATAGTTTTGCTTCCTATGCACAAATCCCACACAATATAGTTTAGCTTTTCCATGTGTTTTATTGCCTGTAGTACTGGATCAAACCACAAGCTTCATGCATACTAGATAAGCGCTCTTTCACTAAGCCCACACCCTAACCCCTGCCCATGTAAAAATACTTTGCAAATATATCAATTATGTTCATCTTGTGCCTGTCCTTTTATGATCAGTTCTGTGTGCAAGAGCCACCCATGCTGTAATGCAGAGCCATTGCTCTCCCATTTTGCTGTACAGTATACTCTTCTATTGTAGGAAAATATACATTATTTATGTACTTTCCCTGTGTTTTGTGGACATTGTACAGGCTTCCCACTTTGTGATATCATAAAGTAGAGCCTTAGTAGGCTGGATGTCACTCTGCCAACACTGAGACATTGTATTGGATCTTCTTGCTGATGAATATACTCTGGAAGCACACATCACCAGCCATAACAGTGTTTACACCAGTGCTGCAGTATTTGATCATTACAGCATTACCAAGATACTGACTATTGGATCCATCACTAACAACCATAGACTCAAGCCTTGGCCTGTCTTACTCTGTGAAGTCAGTGGGCAATATCTTGTGAAAGGATTTTGAATCCTCTCTATTTACAGTAAGAAGTTCAGGTTTCATCATCTTGAGCCAATCCAGTGCTTCAAAATTCCAACACTTACCTATCTTTACTCACTAATGATAGGAAACATTTTGCTCCTACAGCACAATTTCTGCTTTTCTACATACATTCACTTCTGTTCTATATAATAAAGTGGTCAATTTTACATGTCGATTAACATTTTTGAAGATGACATTTCTCTGAGTAAGAGAAAACATTAATGCAAAGTGAGAAAGTGAGCTGAACACTGGACACTCAAACAGCTTTTACCCAAGCAGCTTTCTATCCATGCCTTGGAACTGAGTATAAGAGCACATTTTTCAGATATACTCAGTTAACAAATGTAAGACTCTGCCCTGAATATCATGATCAATGAAAGCAGTTGATTTGAAGTATTCGTAGAATAGTGTCTATGACCACAAATATGCATTTCTCTAGGAAGAGAGGTCGTGGAATGATTACATCATAGCCTATATATTACCTAAATGCTTTTTTCAAGTTTTATCTTTCACCAATAGAGCATGAAGGTTAGCGTTGCCCGCATCCTTACCACTTCTTGGTACTTTCAGCCTTTAAAGTTGTTTCTGAACAATATTCTATTGTATATATAAT